CATTATTAATGGATGGGGTGGGTTCAGATTAAAAGAGAAATTGAAAAGGTTGAAGAATGATCTCAAGAAGTGGAACAGGGAGGTGTTTGGACATGTTGATAAAAAAATTGAAGAGGCTCGAATTGAGATTAAGAGATTGGATGTGAAAGTGGACTCAACGTACTTAACAGAAATTGAAATAGAAAAGAGAAAGGCTTGTTTTCAGGAAGTTTGGGAATGGAGCAGAGCTAGAGATAGTATATTGTTTCAAAAGTCAAGACAGAAATGGCTACAAGAAGGAGATGCTAACAGCAAGTACTTCCATGGCTGCATCATTCGAAAGAGGAAGCAGAATGGCTTAATTGGAATCAGAAAGAACAACGAATGGATTGAGGACGTCCCTGAGGTAAAAGGCTTCATCAAGGAGTATTTTGAGAGAAAGTTCGATGAGGAGGAATGGGATAGACCAGATATAGAATTGAAGAATCTCAACCAGTTATGTACAAAGGAAAACAACAGTTTGATCTCAGAATTTTCGGAAGAAGAAATCTATGAGGCGATTCAATGCTGCAATGGGAATAAAAGCCCAAGTCCAGATGGTTTTAATTTTGCATTCATCAAGAATATGTGGCCAATCCTAAAAGAAGACATTGTTGCCTTCGCCAAAGAGTTTTGGGCGAATGGAAAACTTGTAAAGAGAAGTAACGCGTCCTTCATCGTACTATTTCCGAAAAAGGAGAATCCTCAAGGACTTGGAGAATTCAGGCCCATCTCCCTCATTGGGTGTATGTACAAGATTATCTCCAAGATCCTAGCTAATAGGTTGAGCAAAGTGTTGCCATCAATCATAAATTTGAACCAATCTGCGTTCATTGGAGGAAGACAAATTGCTAATGGGATTGTGGTTGCAAATGAAGTGATCCATGAGGCAAAAAGGCGAAAAAGATCGACCCTGATATTCAAAGCTGATTTTGAAAAAGCATATGATAGTGTTAATTGGGAATTTTTTAATAGAATGATGGAAAAGTTTGGTTTCTGTAGAAAATGGAGGATGTGGATTAGAGAATGTTTATCTACTGCAACTGTCTCAGTGTTAGTGAATGGCAGCCCCACAGAAGAGTTTCACATGAAGAAGGGACTACGACAAGGTGATCCTCTAGCCCCATTCTTATTTTTGCTTGTCGCTGAAGCCTTGAATGGGTTAATTCTTAAAGCAAAGGAGGAAAATCTATACAAAGGTACAGTGGTGGGTGCAGAAGAGATGGAGATTACTCACCTCCAGTTTGCGGATGACTCAATTTTCTTTTGTGAAGCATCGGAACAAAATGTCCAAACTATCAAGTGTGTGTTGCGATGCTTCGAGTTAATATCAGGCCTCAAGGTGAATTATTTCAAAAGTGCACTGTATGGAATCAGTGTGGAGACTCAAAAGGTCAATGAATGGGCTGAAAAACTGAATTGTGTAAGAGGTGTGATGCCATTTAAGTATCTGGGAATCCCAGTGGGCGCTAACTCGAGGAGGATATCAACCTGGATGCCTGTTGTTGATTGCTTAAGAAGGAAATTGTCAAGCTGGAAATGTGAATCGCTGTCCTTTGGTGGAAGAATTATCCTCTTGAATGCTGTCCTATCAAGTATCCCAGTTTATTTCTTCTCAACCCTAAGAGCCCCTAAAAAGGTTTTAAAACTTCTTTCTTTAATCCAAAGGAGATTTATGTGGGGAGGTGCTGAAGACAAGAGAACAATAGCTTGGGTTAGGTGGGACCAGGTTTGTAAAAGTAGGAAAATGGGAGGGCTAGGTGTCAAGGACCTCAATAGTTTCAACTTGGCATTGCTAGGTAAATGGCGTTGGAGACTACTATGGGAGAGGGACGCTTTATGGAATAGGGTAGTGGAAGCCAAGTATCAAGTACATAAAAAAAGAGATTATGAGGGTGAGGATGTGAAAGCAAGTAGTTCCGAGTGGTGGAAGGCAATATGGAGATTAGATAGAGAGATAGTGTCTAAAGAAGGATGGATACAAACGGGTCTTGAAAAGGTCTTAGGGGAAGGCAATGACACTTCATTTTGGTTAGAGAATTGGTGTGGGGAGGTCTCCTTCAAGGAGAAATTCAACAGGCTATTTAGATTGGCTGAAAATAAGGACAACGTAGTGAAAGATTTGGGGGAATGGAGGGAGGGACAGTGGGTGTGGAAGTGGAGGTGGAGTAGGAACTTACGGGAGTGTGAACAATCTGTTTTGCAGGAACTTATTGTATTGCTCAGGGAGATTAAACTAAAGCAAGGA